GGCCATTGTGTGACACAGAGTGTTGGACTGGATGGGCCACTGGCCTGATCCAACACTGGCTTCTCTCTTATGTTCTTATAAGAGGGAATCGGATAAGCATCTGGAGCAGAGGTCCCTCAGTGGCTCTTAGCCACAAGGGATAGATAGGAACTCTCGGTCTGGGGCAAGGGATGCTCTGTAGTCTTGGTGCTTGGGGGAGGCAACAGTTGGGAGGGCTTCTGGTGTCCTCCTGGCCCCACTGCTGGACCTCCTGAGGGCACCTGGTATTTTTGGCCCCTGTGTGACACAGAGATTGTTGGACTGGATGGGCCACTGGCCTGATCCAACATTGGCTTCCCTTACGTTCTCTTCTGTTTGAAAGTGCATTGAGAGTGGATTACGTACTGCTGCCTTTGCCTCTCTGTTTTGGTAGCCGTTTAGAAAGGGGAGGAACTCGGCTGTCCCCCCAGCCCTCCGCAAACACTCCAGGGCCTCCGCTGTTTCCTGTTCTTCTCTCTCCAGCCCAGATTCTGCTGGGCCTTGGCGGGAGCGGAAGGCAGGGACAGAAGGTGCCCACCCAGCTCTTATCGGGGGAAACACATGTCAGATGGAGATGGCAGCGCTGCTGCTGGTGTGTTGTTTGCCTAACACAAGGGGAGAGAGCAGCATAGCCGCCGCGCCGGTCGAGTCAGTCTGGTAGATAGTCGTCCTCTTTACTCCAATCTGGATTCAGCATTCCGAATGAACTCGCAGCACAGCAATGTGCAGCGGTGTCCCCTCTCAGCTGAGTTAGTTTTTAGCCTCCGGCTAACACATTTTTGTCTGCGCTCAAAAAGGAGGGCTCCAGAGCAAACTAATTTATGCAGCAGCCAAGTCACTCGCTCACAACTTCAATGCCGGTAGCTCACAAAGTAGATGTTTTGCTCACAAGACTCCTCCACTTCGACTTAGAGGAAGCATTGATAGGCAGGCACATCTACTTAAGTTTGGTCCAAACCTGTCTGGTTTCCTTCGCTCTTCTGGAGCCTCTTCTCACAAGACAATAGAAAACCGTCCAGGGGCTGATGCCAAAGTGGGGCCCAGGAGCCTTGCTTGAAGCAGCCCACCCTTTCGGCTTCAGAACTTGCTTTTCATTGCCTGGACTGTCAGTCTAGGCACATTTACATTCTCGGAGCATGTGCAGAGTAATAGTCCCTCTCTTCACTGAGAAATGATGGACTTGTTTCAAGCACTCGCAAGGTGCTTTCTCTGCCCAGATACCAGTCAAAGCAATATGCGATAAAACAACCTAAAACTGCTGTGCAACGTTAATAAAAGATTAAAACTGGCCCATAGATCTCTGGGACTGGAGAGAAAGGCTCCTTCTCTCCTCCCCCGCTCAGGGAAGAATGGGAATGTCCAGTGGAAATGAGCCCTGCTCTCTCTCTCTCTCTCTCTCTCTCTGTCTCTCGCCCCATCCTCTCTCTCTCTCTCTCTCTCTCTCTCTCTCTCTCTCTCTCTCTCTCTCTCTCTCTCTCCATGCAACGGTCACCTCCAGGCTAGTGTAATTGGTGTGTAATTCGCTCTACGCTGGCCTGCCCTTGAGACTGACCGAGAAACTCCATCTGGTCCAGAATGCGGCACTGCGCGTCCTCACGGGAACATCACAGACAGCACATATTCAACCGGTGCTGTGCCAGGCACACTGGCTTCCAGTGGAGTACTGAGTCAGGTTCAAGGTTTTGGTACTGACCTTTAAGGCCTTGAGTGGTCTGGGAGCAATGGATCTATGGGACTGTCCCCTCTGGTATGTCTCCGGTAGAGCCTTAATGCTCTTCGAATAACAACTTGGTGATCCCGGGCGCCAGGGATATCCGACTGTCCTCAACATGAGCAGAAGTCCATCAGGGGCTCTTAGCCACAAGGGATAGATAGGAACTCTCGGTCTGGGGCAAGGGATGCTCTGTCTTCTTGGTGCTTCAGGGGTGGGGGCAACAGTGGGAGGGGCTTCTAGTGTCCTGGCCCCACTGCTGGACCTCCTGGTGGCACCTGGTATTTTTGGCCACTGTGTGACAGAGTGTTGGACTGGATGGGCCATTGGCCTGATCCAACACTGGCTTCTCTTATGTTCTTATAAGAGGGAATTGGATCAACATACGGAGCAAGCAGAGGTCCATCAGTGGCTATGAGCCACAAGGTATAGGTAGGAACCCTTGGTCCGAGGCAAGTGATGCTCTGTATTCTTGGTGCTGCGGGGGGGGGGGCAACAGTGGGAGGGCTCCTAGTGTCCTTGCCCCACTGCTGGACCTCCTGATGGCACCTGGTATTTCTGGCCACTGTGTGACGCAGAGTGTTGGACTGGAGGGGCCACTGGCCTGATCCATCACTGGCTTCTCTTATGTTCTTATAAGACGGAATCAGATAAGCATATGGAGCAAGCAGAGGTCCATTAGCAGCTATGAGCCACAAAGTCTAGATAGGACCTCTCGGTCTGGGGCAAGGGATGCTCTGTATTCTTGGTGCTTGGAGGGGCCAACAGTGGGAGGGCTTCTAGTGTCCTGGCCCCACTGCTGGACCTCCTGATGGCACCTGGTATCTTTGGCCACTGTGTGACACAGAGTGTTGGACTGGATGGGCCACTGGCCTGATCCAACATGGGCTTCTCTTATGTTCCTATGTTCTTATGACCTGGTGGAACTCTCTGCCCAACGACATCAGGGCCCTGCAGGATCTTATGCAATTCCGCAGGTCCTGTAAGGCAGAGGTGTCCCGCCAGGCCTTGGGTTGAGGGCGGTGATGATTACCTGATTGGCCAGCATCGCTTTGTTCTTCCACCCCCCTCTGTGTCCTGAGTTCCCTTCCCCCCGCCCAGAAAAAGGGGCTGGTAGTCCGGAATTGGGACAAATAATACTATAGGAAAATCACCATCTTGGATCTTTTATCTACACTGAAAGGTTTATTAAGTTATACATTGAATTTTAATGTTTTGTATTTTTTATAACATTATGTCTTGTACACCATCCAGAGCCCGGCGTAAGCTGGAATAGGGCGATTAATAAACCCTAATAATAATAATAGTAAGTAAAAGGTGACTGAAAGCTACAAGGAAGGCAGGTGGGTATGCGGGCGGGTGGGTGGTTGGCAGCCAGCAGATTTTGGCCTGAGAGTCTCAGCCACAAACTTGCTTACGGTTAAGAGTCACATAGAATAAATGTCAGAGGTTTGAGAGCCGCAAGACATGAATAAATATTACACACATTTTTACTGGTAAACATGCAAATTTGCTTTTTATTAACATTAAAAGAGACTGCCAAAAATAATAACAAAAGCGATAAAAGCAGATATTGACAATTATATTTATTTGTCCAATGATATTTGTTGGCTAATGATATTTAGCTTACCCAGTTACAAGCAGGATGCAATTCGACAAAGACAAATGCACACAGCATTACATCTGGGCCACAAAAATGTCAAGCACAGATACTGGATGGGGGATACGTTCCTGGGGAGGAGTGTATGCGAAAGAGATCTTGGGGTAAAAACGGACTGTAAGCTAAATATGAGCAGCCAGTGTGATGCGGTGGCAAGAAAGGCAAATCCAATCTTGGGTTGTATTAAAAGGGCCACAGCACTGAAATTGCAGGAGGTCCTAGCCCCACTGTAGACTGCCTTGGTCAGGCCGCACCTGGAGTCCTCCTGTGTGCAGTTCTGGAGGCCTCACTTCAAAAAGGATGTGGACAAAATCGAGAGGGTGCAGAAGAGAGCAACGAGGATGATCGGGGGCCTGGAGACTGAGCCCTGCGAGGAAAGGCCGAGGGACTACTTGGGAATGTTTAGTTTGGAGAAGAGGAGATTGGGTGGGGACAGGATGGCTCTCTTTAAATATTAGAACGGCCGTCATTTGCAGGAGGGCAAGGAGCCATTCCCATTGGCGGCAGAGGAGAGGACCTGAAGCAAGGGCTTTAAGTTACATGCAGAAAGATATCGGCTGGATCTGAGGAAAAACTTTTTCATGGTCACAGAGTGGTTCAGAGGTGGAACCAGCTGCCCAGGGAGGTGGTGAGCTCCCCTTCACTGACAGCTTTCAAGAAGAGGCTCGACGGATATTTGTCAGAGATGCTTTAAGGCTGGTCCTGCACTGGGCGCAGGGGGTCGGACTAGAGGGTCTGTCTGGCCCCTTCCAGCTCTACGATTCTATGAGCCGCACAATATGTGTGAAAGAACCACATGCGGCTCCCAAGCCACACTTTGGCCACCCCTGCTCTCAGCTTTCTCTTTCAGAGAAAACAACCCAGGTTTCTAGTCCTTCGGAAGCCGTACGGGATAGTGAAGCTGCCTCAAGTAGGCAGCGGAGGGGGGAGGATTTCTCACTAGCGCGCGTGTGTGTGTGTGTGTGTGTGTGTGTGTGTGTGTGTGAGAGAGAGAGAGAGAGAGAGAGAGAGAGAGAGAGAGAGAGACTCAGTCTGTTGCTATGAGGAAAGCAAAATCAGGGGGTTCCTGTTGTCAAGAAGCTGAGCTACAGCGGCTGGCAAGGCTGGTTGCTAGGTCCCCCCGTGGCCACTAGCGGGGAATGGAGTGGGGTGGGGTTGCCAGCTCCAGGTAGGGAAACTCCTGGAGATTTGGGGATGGAGCCTGGGGAGGATGGGGACGCCCTCAGTGGGGTGTACAGTGCCACAGATTCCACCCTCCAAACTATCCATTTCCCCCAGAGGGACTGATCCCTGCAGTCTGGAGACTGGTTGTGATGCTGGGAGATCTCCAGGTCCCACCTGGAGGCTGGCATCCCTACCTACATGGCTCATTGCCCCTTCCCATGACTGTATCAGAAGCAGACTTGTTTATTTATTTGTTTATCCAATTTGTCGCCCGCCCTTCCCACCGAGACAGGCTCATTATGTAAAATTATGTAAAACATAATACATTATGTAAAACAAATTATGTAAAACGAGGCTGCATATTAAATTATGTCAAGTAGGAACAAGACAAACAGGTCACAGAATTCATTCCCCCTCCCCTTTGTTTCAGAATTTGGGTTCCTTTGGGGGAAATACTGTTTTCTGAGTTCGGCGTCTCCAGCCTCTCTGGGGAGGGACTGGGGGTGGGGGGTGTCCTGCATTGCATTCTTCCCCATGGGTCACATTTCCCTCCCCTTCCCCTCCAGCTGCTCGTGTGCTGATGGATGAGGAGGCCAATCCCAAATGTTTCTCACAGCACCTGGAAGACCTGGCCTGCTTATGGGAGACGCCACAAGCGCCACGGAAGGAGGGAGAAAACCGGACCGCGTACACCTTCCTCTATAAATTTGAGTGAGTGTCTCGTGGCCAGGTTCAAGACCCAGCCCACCCCTAGAGCCTGATCCAGCGAGAGAGACCCTGCTGCTGCTGCTGCTGCCCTGGTGCCACGCCCGGCCAAACCTCCCCCCACCCACAGCCCCAGGCATTCTTTACCTTTCTCTGACTCTGCCCCCCCCCAGCTGACGAGAGAGGGTGCCGGTTCCTCAGCCCGGCCTCCACTTGGGCAGGCTCCAGTTGTGTATCTGCCTTGAGGTAGGCTCAGAGGGACAGAGAGGTGGAGGAGGAGTGCCCACCCACAAGAAGCCAAGATGGAGCCAGTCATGGCTCTTGAGGAGTCTACTTGTGTGAAAACCAGGGGTCATATCCTGCCGGAGCATCCCGGAGCAGCGCTCCGGCAGTAGGGAGCCCAGGCCCCACCCCCCACCCACAGAGAGACTCAGGGAGGGGGGATTTAAATGTCTGGGTTCCTTGCCCAATCTTCTACAGGTGCCCCATGGCAGGTTGGCTGGAGAAGGGAAGGACAGGGGGGAGGCAGACATGGCTACCTCTCCTCCTGAGCATCTCTGCTTTTGCAGAGAGACTCAGGGAAGGGGGGATTTAAACTCATTTGCATATGCCTTACTCATTCTAAACATGCCTTCCCTTTGTCAGGGGCTGTGGCATATGCAAATGAGTTATGCAAATGAGCTCCTGCACCTCTTTTTCTAGGAAATGACCCCTGGAAAACACTGGTCAGATCCACAAATCAGGGGTTGTGATACACTTGGATACACATGAACACTCATGAAGCTGCCTCCTCCTGAATCAGACCTCTCCCCTTGGTCCATCATGGTCAGTATTGTCTACTCAGACTGGCAGCAGCTCTCGATGTTCTCAGGTGGAGAAAGGTCTTTCCCATCACCTCCTGCCTGGTCCAATTTGCCTTCCCTTCAGTGATGGCAGCCTGCCACCCGCCCACCCCCCGCAACTGGGGAGGATCATTATACCCTATGGAGACCCTATGGAGACAGTCCCCGATCTGGTCCGGATCTTCCTCAGCTAAGAATGTTTTCTCATGAAGATGTTTTTGGCTGACAAGATCAAACTATTTTGGCGATTTGAACATGACTGAATGCCTAACAACGACAACAACAATGTTTTAAATATCAGAGTTTTTGTAGAAGCAACTGTCTTGTTTGTTTATGGATCCAACTATCCACAAATTTGGCCATGTCAAGAATTAAATTGATTTATTATGATTGATTTATGCTTTGATTTTGTCAGCCAAAAACATCTTCATGAGAAAACATTGTTAGCTGTGGAAGATGCAGACCAGTAGGGAAGTACCTAGCCAACGGCCGTCCATCATCGATGACAGCTGAAAAGACACTGGGTCAACCCTCGCCCATAACAGAAGCAGCACCTGTAGCTATAGGGAAGGAATTCTCTCAGTGGCCCTTGTTTGTCAACCACAGCAGTATTTCCAGCCTTCAAGCATTTGTTTCTGTCAGTAAAATGTAGGGGGAGAGAGCATGTCAGGCCTGACAGCAGCCACTGGGCAACTTGACACAATGCAACTTGCATAACTTGTGCAGGCCCAGCGGCTTGCTACTGCTCAGCAGCCGCTGCCCCATGAAGTGTTGTGTAGTGGTCAATGTTCCAGACAAGGATTTGGGAGACCCAGGTTGGAATCTGAGTTGGGAAATACCTGGAGATTTTTGGGGTAGAGCCTGAGCGGTGGGTGCTGCCTTCTGGCACACTTCTGGTGATGTCAGGGGGTGTGGGATATGCAAATAAGTTATGCTAATGAGCTCCGGCACCTCTTTTTCTACGAGATGACCCCTGAGGGAGAGGGTCTTTGGGAGAGGGGGGCGAAGAGGGACTATCCCAAAGGAGGGGAGAGCTAAGGATCAGGGCGGAAGAGAAGGACAGGAAACGGCTCGGGAGCTGCTCCTGCGTAAATCCGCCTGCTCATCCGGAAAAAGCAGCCAAATCTTAATTTAAAGGCATGCCGAGTTTAAGGATGAGCTTTTTAAAAAAAGCGGCCAGAAGCCAACGAGGCCCCCAGAGAGAATCTAGAAGCCACCCGGGCTCCATGGGGCTCCCCGAATCCCCACTCCCAAAGTCTGAGACCGGCGACTGGCTTCTTTGCAGGGACGAGACCACCCTGAAGTTCTGCAGCCTGAAAGTGGAGGGCACGGCCAGGAACACGACCCGCTACACGTGCCTCTTCCAGAGGGGGCACATTCCGGCCTTCACGCCCATCGAGGTCCACGTCTTCGAGGGGCACTCCGCCAACAACACCTCCCTGTACTCCAGGAAAGTATGGATGAACGAAGTAGGTAAGGAGGGAGAGCGCCCGACCTTTCCGGCCCTCGGGGGGGGGGGGTCAGTGGTGGCTTATGAGGTCTGCCCAGGGGAAGGGAGAGGAGACATCCAGAAAGGCGCTTCAGGGTCTCTAGGGTGGTGCTGGCAACCAGCGTTCCCTCTAAGCTGAGTCAATGTGAGCTAGCTCACAGTCTTGTAGCCTCCGGCTCACACGTTTTTGCTTTAGCTCAGGAAGGAGGGTTCCAGAGCAAACTAATTGATGCAGCGGCCAAATCGCTCGCTCACAGCTTTGATGCCGGTAGCTCACAAAGTGGGTTTTATGCTCACGAGACTGCACAGCTCAGAGGGAGCCTTGTTGGCAACTCCTTTTTCCTGGCAGCGCCCCCTGAGCCAGGAGCCATGGCCCAACGGACAGAAAACAAAGTGGTGAAGAAGTTCCTCCCGTCTCACCTGCTGAGTCCTCACTCTCCCGCGCAGAAGGGGCTCAAAGTCCCAGGGCCCTGCAAGGGAAGGGGGAGGAAGGCCTGGCTGCAGGGAACTCGGGGGACAGAGGAGCGCGGTCCGAAGCCAGGCTGCGCCCTCCCAAACTCACTGGCGTCCTCCAGGGGCTGAGGAGGGTGGGAGGCTGCTGAGGAGGGCACTGCTGGATCCGGATCCTGACCGCTTCCCGCCCAGACGTTTTCTGGCAAAGAGGGCTCTGACTGGCAAAAGTTTCCATCCCCAGAAGCTTGTGGGTCAGGAGTGCGCTCCTGGACTCGCTTTGAGCTGTTTTGCTCAGGAGGGGGATGCCGATCAAGTTCTGAAAAGCAGGTCTGCCTCAGTCAGTGGGCCTGGGCAGGCCGCCGACGGGGGGGCCCCTGGCAGCCACCAAAGGACGGGGTGGAGGTGCGGGGCTGTTGCTGGCAGAGGCAGTGAAGCTTTGGGGCTGTGCAGGCCGCCAGGGAGGCGAGGGGCGGTGGTTCTGTACCCGAGATGGGAACCTTCCCCGGTGTGTCGAAAGAGACGGCCACTTTCCCTCCCTCTCTCTCTCTGCTTCCTCCCCTCCGTTGGCAGTTTTCCTGGACCCTCCCTCGAACCTGACTGTGCGCCTGATCGACGCCCTGGGGCAGCAGCTGAACGTCAGCTGGCAGGCCCCCGTCCTGGCCTTCCTGGACACCAGCATCCTCTACGAGGTCAAGATCTCTCTTGAGGGCTCCCAAGCCCAGGTGGTACGTCAGGCCCTGCGTCCAGGCCCTCTGGCCCTGAGGGGGGGGCCCGGGACCTCCCCTTCCCCCCTTCCCCCCTCCCCTCTTGCTGCTGACCTCCGCTCTGCCTCCCTCCCTGCAGGTGAAGATTGCCAGTGGGCGCACCTATTGCCTCGTCGCCAGCCTGAAGGGCCAGACCCGCTACTCCTTGGCCGTGAGGGCCAAGCCCGACGGAGTCAGCTACAACGGCTACTGGAGCGCCTGGTCCCAGGCTGTGACCGTCACCACGACCAGCAGTAAGTTCTCTTCGGGCCACCTGGGCCGGGCGTCACACTCCACGGAAGTGCCCACACTGCTGGCAGGGCCGAGTGGATAGGGATGCCAGCCTCCAGGTGGGGCCTGGGGAATCCCCCGGCAATATAGCTCTTCATTCCCCAGACGAGAGAGATCGATCCCCCCTGGAGAGAACGGGTGCTCTGGAGGGCGGACACACTAGGGCATCGTGCCCCACTGAGGGAGGTCCCTGTCCTCCCCAGGCTCCGTCCCCAAATCTCCAGGAGTTCCCCAACCTAGATCTGGCAGCCCCCCACCCCACCCCCTGTTGGCAGACAGGGAAGACCTGGCACTGGTGTTCCCTCTGAGCTGAGTTGGTGTGAGCTGGCCCACAGTTTTTTAGCCTCCAGCTCACACAGTTTCGTCTCAGCCCAGGTAGGAGGGCTCTAGAGCAAACTAACTGATGCCACAGCCAAATCGCTCACTCACAACTTTAATGCCAGGAGCTCACAAAGCAGAACGTTTGCTCACAAGACCCCTTCCCCTTCCCCTCCCCCTCCCCACAACAGACACAACTATTTGAAGGGCTGTCACTTACAGGAAGGCAGGAACGGACACACCATCATGGGTTTAGGTTAAGGGCGGGAAGGTACCAGCTGGATGTTAGGAAATCCTTTCTTACAGTCAGAGTTGTGCAACGGTGGAATCAGCTGCCTGGGGAGGGGGTGAGCTCCCCCTTCTCACTGGCGGTCTTTAGGCAGCCAAATAATAGGGACCCCCCCAGGCGTATATGATGTACAAAAATAAAAAACTGCAAGGGTAGACCATCAAAGAATTCACAGATTTCACAAGTAGCAAGTAGACATCAGTCTATTGGAACACAGTCCAGGAAATCAATTAATAGGTAGAATTGGTGGTCACAATTCAAACACTGGTAACAATTCAGACAAGAAAAGGTGCGACCATTCAATAGTAGAGAAAGAGTTCAACAGGAGATCAATTAATAAGTAGATTTGGTGGCCACAAGATTACACTAGAGACATGAACTGGGCCTTAGATTATTGTGGAAATCAGGACGAGTGTAAAATGTGGCTGCATGAGGTGGCTTTTACACAGATGCACTGGAATATACCTATTTTGAATCTCTCTTTGGTTTCTTTTGTTTCATTGTTACATTGTTGTGTTGTAGTTCCATTTTTCAGCCGTACAACAGAGGAAGAAGGCTTTGAAACGTCTGGCATACCTGGGAAGGACATTTTTCGGCTGTAGAAGTTTTTTTGTGCTTTGGGAAGAAGTACTTTTTTAAAATTATATTTTTATTCTTTTACTTAGAAGTACATTCACATGCAGAGAAAGAAACAACACTAACACAGAAACAGCCGAGGGGTATACAATATATGAATGCGTAATGGTTGAACTATAAACTTTAAGGAACCCTGGTTAAAATCTATATGATCTTATTTACTATACTTTACTCAACATTATATCTTATGTCTTCTCTGAACACTTACACCATCAATTAGTGTTATTTTTTAAAAAATAATTATATTTATTTCAAATTTTCTGTATGCATTACAACATGCATATATCCACATCTTATACAACCATGCAACACATTTCGGAGTCTTACACTTATCTATTTAATACCATTAGTTTTTTCCTAACCATTTGTAAAAATTTTCCCAGCTATTTTTAAATATCACTTCATCTTTATTTTGTAATATTATAGTCAGTTTATCTATTTCCACCACTTCCTGTATTTTATAAATTAATTCTCTCTTGGAGGGTATTCCTCCTTGTTTCCAATACTTGGCAAATAATATACGAGCTGCTGTATTTATATAAACAATAACGTATTTTCCATCCTTTTTAAACTTATCCGGTAGTACATTTAACAAAAACAATTCAGGCACATAAGGTATTTCTATCCCTAAAATATTTACTAATATTTTATTAACTTTATGCCAATATTGTTGAGTCGTAGAGCACCTCCACCACGTATGGTAAAAAGTGCCCACATTGTTTTTACATTTCCAACAATTTTTTGACATAGTAGGATAACATTTTGCCAATTTATCCGGTGACCAGTGCCACCGGTGAAACATTTTGTATACATTTTCCTTATAAGAGGTAGCTCGCAAGTATTTCGCAGCTTTCCATACTTTGGACCAATCCTCTATGATATATCCAAAATCTTGCATCCACGTAATCATAACACTTTTCACCTCTTCGTCCAGTTCATAATCCACCAACAATAGTTTGTATAACTTCTGTATTAATTTATCACTTGTAGATAGCCATAGCTTATCCAAATCCGTTTTTTCACGATAGAACCCTTTCTTTTTATCTTTTTCAAATCTAGTTTTTAACTGCATATTTTCCCACCACATTAATTTTATATTTTGTTTCTCTATCTTCTCCTGCGTTATTAGATTGCCCTCGTTATCCAATAATGTCTCGTAACTTATCTCGTAGTTGTCATTAAGGACGGTTTAATAAACACTTCTAGTGGCGATAACCACCTTGGTATTTTAACATAAAATCTATCTTTAATCTCTTGCCAGATTTTACTAAGCGCTCCTCTTATCGTATGCTGTTTAAATTTCGAGTCCATTTTATCTTTTCCATATCCTATATACGCGTGCCAGCCCATATCTAGATCAAAACCTTCCAAAGTTAATAGCCTCCTATTTTCTAATTAGTGTTATTGACCGTTGTAAAAAAGAGTGATTAACACATGGAATTCACTGCCACAGGAAGTGGTGGCGGTTACAAGCATGGATGGCTTCAAAAGGGAATTAGATAAGCATATGGAGCAGAGGTCCACCAGTGGCTATTAGCCACAAGGTATAGATAGGGACACTGGGGCAAGGGATGCTCTGTCATCTTGGTGCTTGGGGGGGGTCAACAGTGGGAGGGCTCCTGGTGTCATCTGGCCCCACTGGTGGACCTCCTGATGGCACCTGGTATTTTTAGCCACTGTGTGACACAGAGTGTTGGACTGGATGGGCCTTTGGCCTGATCCAACACTGGCTTCTCTTATGTTCTTATGACATCCCCTGCCTTGTTTCTGGACTTTGAGGTCTTTTAGACACTATTATACTGAAAGGATATAGAGGAGTCTCTTGTTGAACTCTTTCTCTACTATTGAATTGTCACATCTTTTCTTATATGAATTGTTACCAGTGTTTGAATTGTGACCACCAATTCTACTTATTAACTGATTTCCTGTACTGTGTTGCAATAGACTGATGCCTACTGGCCACTTTGATGGAATTTGTGAATTCTTTGATGGTCTACCCTTGCGTTTTTTTATTTCAGTCTTCAAGCAGCGGTTGGACAAACCCTTGTCAGAGATGCTCTAGGCTGATCCTGCACTGAGCAGGGGGGTTGGACCAGATGGCCTCCATGGCCCTTCCAACTCTGTGTGATTCTATGACTCTATGTCAAAATTGGAGATGGATGGGCAGATGTATCCTGAATTGCGGGTGTGCTGAGAGTAATGGACTGAGGCCCTGCCGTGACGCTCCATCTGTCCCCTCTCAAGCGTGGAGGCGACCTTACAGGCAATAGCAGGAACGTTAAGGATACAGACAGGACAACTCCAAGGGCAGGAAAAGATTCGTGGAGGAGATCAGAAATTATTACAATTATAAAACAACAGAGAGATCCGGAGGTTCCTAATTCTTATAGACCAATAAGCTTGGCAAATCAGGATTACAAAATTTTTGCAGAGGTCTTACCAAATAGATTAGAGAAGTTATTACCAAGATTAGTAGGAGAAGATCAATATGGCTTTGTGAAAGGAAGATATATAGGTCACCCTATAAGGAATGTGATTAATGCTTTATATCACGGGAATGATAATAGGAAGATGGCTCTCTTGAAATTGGATGTATATAAGGCATTTGATACATTAAATCATGAATATTTGTTTCAAGTATTACACAAATTCGGTTTCGAAGGACCTTTTGTGAATGCAATAAAAGAAATTTATAGAGGAGGAAGAGCAGTGATTAAAATAAATGATGGACATACCGGGGAAGTATTGATCCAGAGAGGAGTTAAGCAAGGGTGTCCTTTATCCCTGATGTTGTTTGTCATAGCTATGGAAACTTTGGCAGATAGAATTAGGAATAGTGTTAGAATACAGGGGTATAACGTAGGAAAGGAGGAAATTCAATTGAACTCATTTGCAGATGATATTTTATTGGTTTTAGGGAATCCTTTAGAAGCGATGAAAGAATTAGTAATAATTTTAGAAGACTTTAAAGCATGTTCAGGTTTGGGAGTAAATATTAAGAAGTCGGAAATAATGTTTAGCAAGGAACAAAAAGAAAGCAAGGTTAACAGGTATGAAGATAGGAAATAAGAAATTGGAATATTTGGGAGTAATAATAACAAGAAATGTCAAGAATATGATGGGGATAAATTATAAAACAATATGGAAGAAGATACAAAAAAATTAAATCAATGGGATAATAAGTATTTGAGTATACTAGGGAAGATTAGGGCACTTAAAATGTTTATAATACCAAAGTTGATGTATTTGTTTCAGGTACTACCAGAATGGGTATCTAAGAAGCAGTTAGAAGAGTGGGATAAGGTATT